GCTGGCAATATCTGCATCTAAAAAAGAAAAAAAAAAAGCTTGCTTATTCGACATTGGAAAAGTTAAGATTTCTACTCCAAGGGGCTCATGTGGGTTTGCGCTCAGTCATGCTGAATAAAAGCAACTCTGTGTTCATAGAATACAAGGTGCAGAGATGATGATTCAGAGAACTTCAGTGAGCATTTGTGATGACACCAAATTAAACCAGAACTTACATTTCTCTCCTCCATCAACCCAGGGGATCCTATGTCAATTACATGACCTCAACTGCATGAGTGGTAGCCAGTTGTGAAAGAAAATGCATGGAAGATAAGGTCTCCTGACCCTCTAGTCCCTAAGTCACTTATAACCAATGAATGTGAAGGAAAAAAGATTCTTAGCAAAAGATTCACTAAGGTGGACCTACAAGAAGATCTTTTTCAAGCTATTAATTCTCCAGCAGACTCAAGGATATAAAACATCTCAACAGTTTGCAATACCCTGGTTTTTGCTATACAGTAATCCTTTGAAATGCAGGCCTATTATTAAAGGAAGACAAAAATCCTCCTTGTCAGAGGATGAAAATCAGATACTCATAGCTAAGAACTTTTACGGTACCATAAAACCTGACATGATAAAACCAAACATTTCAGTGAGACCAGAAATGATTTTCAAGAGACGTGGCAATAAGTGGAATAATCCAGCTAAAAGTTACATTCATTCAAATCACTGCCACTCTCTGCCTGGATTCAAGCCACCTGCTCTCTACTCACCTTCAGTTCCTAAGTGAGGAAGTGGGGAGGTCAAGACCTGTTAGTGTGAGCTGGTTCTAGAACAGGACTTAGCAGGCCTGCTCCTTCATCTGTGCTCTCTCAAGGTTCCTTCTGGGAGTCCAGGGAAGGAGAGGCTGACTGTGCAGATGACATCAGGCCAGCTGAGGCAATTTTGGCAACTCTGATTTCTGTGGCTGAGGCTGAGCACCTGATGGAAAGGCACTGATAATTCTCCTCAGGTGGGTCATCTCAACCCTTGAGAAGAGTCCTCTTCTCATGTTTCCTTCGCTTTGATTTATAGCTTCTAAATGTGATTTCCTCTTTAAAGTCCCTTACCTCCACCCCCAATCTTAGCTGGACACACTTTCAGGTAGCTCTGAGGATGTGGCATATGAACAACTCCAGGTCAAATTCTGGTCTTTCCACTTAGGAGCCTCAGCTTCCTCATCTGCTTCATTGTCAGGACTAAGGAAGATGACACATGTAAAGGGCTTACCCTGGGCTCAGGATGTTGAGTGGCTTCATAAATGGAATCACACCATTGTGTTGTAATTACTTTTTATCTACTGAACTTTCCAGTTAAACTAAGTGCCCTATGTCTTCTTTGTTGCTGTCCTGGAGGTCTCTGACAGGCTGAAAGTACAGTTTGACAGTTCAGGCCTGGTTTGAGAAGTGACAGTTTCCACAGAGTCAAGATTAGTGATCAAGGTCTATAGACAGACGCTAATTTCAAGCATGGAGGTTTGTGAAAATGCAACCGACCAACTTGTGAAAGGGCCTTGTTACATGGCTAAACAATTCTCATCATAAGGGTTTTAACATTTAAGAAACTTAAACTGCTAAGCAAGTTGGTGTTTTTTTCCTAACACAACGAAATCGTGCTATTTGAGCTGCAAACCGGAGTTTTTATTAACTGTTATACAAATGGATTTTTTTTATGTTACACATGCTCATTGGGGAAAATGGGGAGCAGGGCGAGAAAAGCACAATAATCCCACCGTCCACATGTTTGCACTTCTAGCCTATTCCAAGCACAAACTTGTTCAAATACCAAGTTATAATTGTAATAATGGGCTTTCATTGCGCACACTGCTCTCCATACATTGCAATCCAATTCACATTTAAAAGCTGCAATGACAATTGCTTGATTATATTCTCTTACTTTGTAGGGCTTTTTAAAGTACTGAGCTTTTTTAAAATTGGGGAAAACATTAAACTTTTGAATAGTTTGTTTTCTTGTTACAAACGTGGCATGCTCATTGTACAACACTCAGAAAGTTTTAGTATGTAATAATTTGAGATTAACATTTATCAAACATAGAGCCTGTATGAGTGTAAGGGCAGGACGACACAGGGCAGGTTTTCTATGACTCGAGCAGACGGGGTAAAGGAGGAGTGAGTCCTGGAGCCCTCAGTGGCTTTAGCAGGCTTTTATTGGGATTTACCAGGTAATGGCTGGCAAGAGGTGCCAGGGGTCTGGGAGGCCTGCCAGCAAGTCTTCACTCTTTCTGGGCTTTCCGGCCTTCTCTCGTGTTCTCTCTGCTTTTCTTCTAATGGTACTGCTCTCTTCTCTGCTTCTGCTTTTCCTTCTGCTGGCGTTTCCATAACGCCGCCCTTATAAGCCCATTCTTAGCCCAGGTGAATCCCATCTACATATGCCCACACCCTATTCCAGGTGCCCGCCATCAGGCATGCATTCAGGACCGCAGGGATCCATCATCAATCCTAATGGTGGAAGGGCAGAAAAGCCTACTTTACTTATCCTACAATGAGGCACTGTTATAAATGCTTTGGAGACCCACTTACTCCTCACAACACTTCATGCATAGATATTAAGTCACTTGCCCACACTCTACACATGGAAGGCCTGAGTCAGGAACCCATTACTATCCTATGATGTTCTACCAGTCAAAAGAATTTATTCAATTACACCTTCCATTCATTGTTTTATAAAAGATTTACAGTAACACTGTGCCCTTTGCTATCATTTAAAAATATTATAAAGCACCATCTCTGTGTCTCGGTGAAGCAATTAGAAAAATAAGTTGTGGAAGGAGTTACTCTTCAGATCAGCTCAATCCTGCACACCTGATATGTTTTAAGAAAAACAAGTGCCTGATTCAAAGATGGAAGCACAGCGCTTAAAAATTTTTGCAAATGATTCAGTGAGTAGATTTCCTGAATTAACTGAATACCCATCCTAACAAAAGTTTACAACCAGTTACATTATTTTTACAAAACATTTAAGAAATGTTCCCAATTGGTTCTAAACACTTATAGCTTATCTGTTGGCATTGGACATGAGTTCATGAAAAAAGTAAATAACTGGATACTCCTGGGTCACATTTTTTCATATTTTAATTAAAAATCATTCTAGGTTAAAGACAAACATTTCTGTTTCTGGTTTACTATCCTACCCCGGGCCAATAATCTTGAATATTTGAAACATAAATTCTCTTTTAAAAAGATAGTTAATGAAATGGTTCTGATTACTTGGTTCTAAGATTATATTACTGCAGCACTAAAATGTAGTAAAACTATTAATCCATTAATCATATTCACACAATGAACACTAATATTTTATTTGTACCTATTTACTTCTAGCTTTTTCTATCTAGCTAGCTAGCTATGAATCTATAAAAATCAGATCCCTTCTTTGGGATTTAAAACTGTTCTATCAAATGTTTTCAAAAGGTTTAAGCTGCCATCTTATAATTTATCCATCTTATAATAGCCTGCTGCCTGAGCAAGCTAAATAAGTAAAATCTCTTATAATTTTGAACATTAACTATGTTAGATGCAGTCAAATGTTTTCCAAACAGTTTCATATACTTCATACAAACTTAGAGATAGAGCTCATTATCATCCCCTTTAACAATTAACACTGAAAAAGTTTAAATAACTACTATTCCCATCCAGGTACATGTGCCAGCAAAACCCACACACACCCAAGACCACACTGCTTCTCTTCCGTATCAGCCTCAGAAAAATTGATTTGCACAACTTATCTCCCTAGATTAAGTGAACACACAAATAACACTTAAAGGAGAAAAAAAAAGACACCCAATATAAACCCAACACCATAAATGACATAATTCTAAGTTTGATTTTTGTCCTTTTTCTCATGTTTTTGATATAAAAAATCTAATCTGGTATTAGCTAGTATTTTCCTCAAGTGTTTTGACTATGAACCTCTGTGCTGTCACAACTTGACAAATTTCCCATGTCTTTCAAGAAAAACACCACAAACCTAACACAGCAACTCTTATTGTTAGACAGCTAGTATTCAAATGAGACTGGAGTTTGCCACACAACACATTTTTTATATTTTAACCTTTTTAGTTTTCTGTGAAACACACGTTCACATTTTCCTATATTTCGACACAAATCTAAATGCTGTTGGTGTTCAATACTGAGAGTTCAACAGAAAAAAAGACTGCATTTTTATAAGGTCTAAAGGTGGAGGGATTATACTGTTTAGTATTTTTTGGACTTAAACTAGGGTTTTCTCAGTGCTAGTTAACTGCTGAAGAAGGCAAAGGGATTGAACACTCGATCAGAGTCCTAAAACCTTTGATTACTTTTAAAGATTATATGTGTTAATCATATTTGTATACTGAAAGGGAGTCTGCTAATGCATACAATTTAGCTTAAAAAGCAAAAACCTGCGGATTCCCCAGCACCCACCCCCCACCTTGTTCTCTGGATTTTGCTTCCCCCGGGGAGAGGCGACAGAAAAACAGAACAGCTCCTCACTTGAATGCCATTATTTTGGCAATAGTAAAATCCAAGCCTGTCTCTCAGCCTGCCTTCCTGTTCTCCCAGGTGAGGGCGGCCATCCTGCCATAACTCACACCGAGAGCTGAGAAACACCAGCAATGGTGCAGTGCTGTGACTCGCACTTTAAAAACAAAGCCAAACTCCGCGTTTAAAGTAGAGAACACACAGACACAGCCCCTGCCTCTGACAATATCGAGAGATTCATTATAGACAATCTAATCAGACGAAGCTACAACCGCCCCAGGAAATATAAACAGTGTCCTCCAGACTTGGGGGTGGGGGTGTTGCAGGAAGGAAATAACTGATGGGAAGGAAGCTGATCATGTGAAGCTTGTCCAACTCCACAAGGTCTAATAAATTCCCGGTTTGTTTCCACTAGGAGCAGCCATTAAACGTGCCCTGACACGTGGGCGCAGGGGACCTCTCCCTTCTCTCGGGTTTCTGGCTATTTCTTTTCCTCTGCACTTATTTGTATACAACCACGCCCGGCTCGGGGTGACTACAAAATGCCAGGCCTCGTCAGTTCCCTCACTCAGATTTCCAGGGCTGCAAAGTTTCTCTCTCCATGGCGGTGATTTAACGACCAGCACGAGCTGCTTTTCGAAAGTTGTGAATGGTTTAAGTCAAGTTGGCAACGCACAAACAAGGCCAGGTGAGTGCCGGGTGTTAGTGACAGCGTTTTGAAATTAGCTTAAATGATAGGGCCCCCCAATTAAAAAAAAAAAAAAAAGTAAGTCACCTTAATCCATGCAGTCAGTGTTTGAGTCGTGTTTTTTAAAGTCAGGCCAGACCCACGTCTGAGTCTCGACCTCCCCGCATCCTCTGCAAACGCAGAGTCCGAATCACTTTTCGGGGGTCCCTCGCGGGGTGGGAGATCTGGGTTCTCCGTCACCCGCTAATTCCCTGGCTAGATGCCTAGCGGGTTCCAGGGTTGCGCTCCCACCAGCCGGTCCCAATAAAGAGCAGAAGAAAGTAGGGAAGAGGGGCGTGGCACCCAGGGCACCCCCAGATGCGAGTCCTTCTACAAACCTGGCACTGCCAGGGCTGGGAACACCAAACCTCCCCGTGCCAACCCGGAGCCCGGCGCGCCGCCGCCCGCAGGCGAGAAAGCGAGAGCGCAGGGGGACTGACCACCCCTGCCCGAACCCAGGGGCCGCGTCCAGCTCTCCGTCAGAGGGCACCCCCATCTCCACGGCTTCCCGCGCCCCCCGTCCGCCCCCCGTCCAGGGCGAGCGCGGGGTCGGTCTCCAAGGCTCGGCGTCCCTCGCCACCCTCCCTCCATCCCCTCCTCCGGCGGCCGGTGCCCCAACGAGTCCCCGCCCTCCGGGACACTTCCCTTCTTCCTCCTTTCCTTCCTTCCTCGGTTCCTCCCTCCATCTCGTTTCCCAGCCCCGGGAACTCGGAGGCGGCCCCCTAACTCGCCGGCCCACGCCCCGCGCTGCGCCCCTGTCCCCGCGGGCACCCGGCGCGCCGCCCGCGCCCGCCGCTCACTTGCCTGCCGGTGCGCTCCCCCGCCGCCGCCGGGGACTCGGTCTCTAAGGGCTCCTGGAGACGGCTCCGACCTCTCCTCCTCCTCCCGCTCTGGTTCCAGCTCCTCTGGGCGCCGGCTCCGCCTCGCGCGGGGTGGGCGGGGCGCACAGCCCGACGGGCGGGGCGGCGGCTGCCCCAGACGCCTTCTTTTGGCCCCAGGCCTCCTGCGACCCAGACGTGCCGTCCCCAGCGCCGTCTGAGAGCCGCTGCGGTAGGTGTCCCGGCCGGCGGAGGACAGGGGTCGGGAACTGTGAAGCCCCTCAAACGTCTGGCTGCCTTGTCCATCTCCATTTGCCCGTCCCCAAGTTCACGAAGATCCTGGCGTTCAAGGACGCGGCCGCACCCCCGACCCTCCAGCCCCCAACTTCACGACCCTCCCTGGGACAGCTCAGACTCCTCCTCAGAAGTTTCCTTAGCATGCGAATGCCTGGCCAACCCTTGTGCCAACTGTCCCCTGGGCTGCGAATATGTGTGCTGCCAACCCCCTACACAAAAGTTAGGCTCTGCTCCAGGAATTTCTTAAGAAAACAGTCACAGTAAAATTTAAAGAGCCCTGGGGCCATGGAGAGATTTTGTTTTCCAGAAAGTGGTGCTGTAACTGTGAGTTATTGGATTTAAAGTACATTCACCTGTCAAGAGTTTCCCCTCCAACTCTCCCCCATGAAATTTGTGCCCGAATGCCCAGACACTTGGCAGAGTTCGGTGTGATGAATTAATTAGATTTGGTTTGTCTTTTCTCGATGTATTCAGGGTCCAGCAGTTTGAAGAGCACTTCTGTTTCCACGGGCATCAAACTATTCATATACACATTCAGTGAACATTTATTGAGCACCTGCTATGTGCCTGATAGAAGCTCTCAGATATCCTACCACTCAGCAAACTTCCTGTGTGTCACTAGATATCTGCTTTCTTGTTCAACAGGGTGGAGATAGAGGGTTGAGGCCAAAGTAGGTCATTAGAACCAGTGTTGGCAGAATCCTGCTTGAAATGAAGTCCAAAAGCATAAGTGAAGGATATCCGTGTGTTGAGTTTCACCAACTGAAGAGAAGGACCAGAGAAGCAAGGGATTAAGGAATGCAGTTAGGGTATTTTCTTCACTCTTGAGGGGCAAGCCTTAGCCTACAGGGAAGCCCTTTATTTCATGCTCTGTGCAGTGGTAGGAAAGGCTTGACCAATTCAGACACTGAGGGATATACCCTAAGGGACAGCCTGATGCCAGTGGAGACTGAGATGGTCATATACTAAAGTTTGTGTCTTTTGGCCCATAGAGTACAGACTGCAGGATCAACATCTATAGTCCTAGTGCTAATGTCGGCTTCAAGGGCACCTTATAGCTTAGTAAGTGCTTTCACATATATATATGATCTCATTCATCTTTTGCAAAAACCTGCATACTGAGGTGCCAAGAACTTAAGTGGCTTATTGAAGGTTTTCTAGTTCAGTGTTATTCAGAGTGTGGTCCACGGAAGAGTGATAGTCTGGGAACCCTTAACCATCTTAGTGGGAAATACATAGAAATTGAAGATGAGCATGTAAGAAGCACTTTATTAGTGATTTGAGTCATTTTCTGCCCATTGACTCTAACAGCTAAAAATATCACTTTGTATGTTGAATATCTCTTATTTCATTTACCCCATCATCCATTTTATATTTGTCAGATTGTACAAAAACACCAGCCTACAAAAGATTGAATATAAAATACCACAGATAGTTTGAGAAGCACCAATCCAGGTAGTAACAAAGGTAGGAATAATAAGAATAACACATTGCACTTCCTGCAAAGTAAATGTTGCTTTCTGTGCTTCACCTATTTTAACTCTTTTAATCTTTGTAATAATCCTAGCAGGTTAACACAGGTTAAGCCATGCAGTCCAAAAGTGGTGAGCCAGAATTCAAGCCCAAGAACCTGGCCCTACCCTTTGTGCTGTTACCCATGACCCTGGATACAATGTTCTTTCTACTCTGCTGATGTGTCTAAACCAGGTACTGACATTCCATCCTGACATCATTGTAGTTCCTATATGACTTCATATATATTCCAACCACGAAATCATGGGCTGGATAAACATCAGTCTTTTACCCCAGATCATGTGAACATCCACGCCTAACACTAGCAGTGGCTTTCCTACACAGTGACTCCAGTTGTGTTTCATTCCCACTGCTAATACCTGCATCTTGTCAGAGTACCAGCCTCAGCTGCAGGATTTGCTTTGCTGGCACATAGGACAGCTGGGAGTTCTTGGGAAGTAATGCCCCACCCTTTAACAAGGTATGGAGGAATATGGAGGCATAAATCTTCCAATTCCTTTGCTCCCAGGTGGGACAACTCAGGGTGGGTTTCTACTGACTGCAGAGCTCCCTATGAAGTTGGACCAAAGTCTCTGTCCTTTTTCATGGGATGTAGTTAGATCTAACATTCTTGTTTGCTCTTACTCTTCTGGGTTCCTTCTTTCCCACCAGTGTTTCCTAGGAAAAAATCCTAATCAGGACCAACTGTGTGATTTATGGGGTCCAATACGAAACTGAAAAATGTTCATAAATTAAGAATTCAAGATGACAATAGGATGGGGCCCTATGTGGCTGCAAGTGTGTGAATCCACAGGTTGTGTATCAGTGAAGCTGGCCTGAATGCTAATCATCATTTGCACTTGAATCTTTATCTCAGGGGCTGCTTCTGGGGAGTTCCCATCTAAGATAACTATTAAAGTAAGAACCAGGGCCTCCCTGGTGGTGCAGCGACTTGAGTGCAGCACTGTGAAGCTTTCTGCAGCCTCTGAAGTGCAGGTTTGATTCCTGGCTGGCCAGGGAGATTCCCACATGGTGCAGCAGACCTCTCCTGTCATCTGCTGTCCCCCTCAGCAGTGCTTTCGGTCTGTCTGCCTGTTTCGCTCTCCACTCTGTCTCTGGCCTGTACCCCAGCTCTTGTATAAATAAAAAATAAATCTTTAAAAAAAATAAAGCAAAAACCAGCCCATCCAAGTATTATCAAAGTCATCTTGTGTAACACACTGGTGGTCAACATCCCATGCCTTAGGTGGCTGTCTGATAAGGGGATGCCAAGTTATATTAGCAGTTCTAGCCACCCAAAGAGGTATAGTAGTAGAGAATGGTTTAAAGTTCATAAAATTTTGGGTCAGGAAAGCTGGGTGTTGGTTCCAGTTCTGATGCAGAGTGATACACACAAAATATGAATTAGGGTGATTTCTTAAGAATGTGTTACCAGGAAACACGTATGAGGGTTTATTGGCAAGTAGTTAAAAAGATACTCCTGTAAGGAAGTGGCGCAGGCAGAATTGGGCAGGGCAAGAATCTACTCTCGGTGTGGTGAAAGCCCTGGGGGAGGACTGGAGGTGGGTGACTCTTTAGAGTTAGACAAACTGAGTTCTGAGGCCGGGACTTTGTATCTTCAGATACTCCATTCCTGGGAAGAAGGGTAGTCATGGGGAACACAGTTCCAGGAACCAATACGCCCAGCAGCTCAGGAATAGGCACATTAGCCCTGAACAGGGGAATCTGGAAGAAGCTGCACAGTGCATGTTGTAGGTGGGTTATAAGGTCCACAGAAAACACTGTAGTTAGATCTCACCTAATAGTCGCTCATACCAGGACTACTCCGCCCAGCCCAGGACACCTTGGTCTTTCATGTAGCCCTTGGTCTTTCATGTAGCTCTTGGGTAACTCTTGGTTACATTTTACCTTCCTCTGACTATGAGCCTATTTCATTTCCTACTTTTTTTTCTTTTTCCAGTCTTCTTTTAAGCTCTTTTTTCCTTTCCTCTCAATATTTTGACCCAATTATTTCCAGGTCTCCAGTGACACTAAAGAGCAGTCACACAAACAGCTGCCTGTGAAACAATGGTAATGTAGTGAAATAAAATATACATTATGAAATGCAATCTTTGGAAGTAAGGACTGACACTAACATGTGGGATGAATTTGAGGCAATCTCTTGACCCTACAGGGCCTTTGTTGGTTTTTAAAAAACAGGGATTCTAAGACAGTGGTTTCTAAAGTCCCATTTCTTTGGAAATTCAATTCTGAAAAAGAGATGGCTTCTTCTGCTGAATAATCCCTTACAAAGCAAGCAAGAGAAATGATTTTATAACTCAGTACAGTCAGTTGATTTTTAAAATCATTCACAATTCACATGTGAAGCTCTACTTCTATGAATTTCTATTCAATATTCAATCACAATACCCTAATTAAAGCATCATTTCGGAAGTGATGGGGGAAGAAAAATGGGGGAAAAATAAGGAAAATCAGTCTATGAGTGACTGGTTTTCTACAGACTTCTGGGATATCAGCTTTGCTCCCTAAGGATTTTATTTGTCCTGTTACACATGACCATACTCTTTGTCTGAACCTGCCCTAGAAGTTATGGAGAGATACCTCCTTTCCAATAGGTTACTTGGCTATGTGTTTTACAAACTGGTTTTTCTGCTCAGTCAGAAGTTGCCATATTCCCATGTAGAAGTTAGGTCAGGGAGAAGTACCCACAGTTTTGGAAATCCCCAAGCAACTTGTTGAAACATGTATTGACAGGCAGGAGCTAGGACCAAAACCATAGGTACAGATCAGTAGGCAGCTCAGTACAGTTCCATCCTCAAATTGGTGGAAACCTTCAAAGGCCTGGCTGGGAGTGGCCCCAAATTGAGGCATTAACTCAAGTTAATTGATTGGTAACTCAATAGGAGCTTTCTGGTTTATTACAGAGCGAGGCCCTATGGTTCTGTAGAGTGGAAGTCCCTGAAACTATTTCCTACATCAAATATATGGACTTTAGACTTACCAGATTTCCCATCATTGGACCGGTGGTTGACTAAGAAGTGGAGAGGATATCAGGGTAAGCAACCAAATGTCCATCAGAGGAGATGTGATGCCTCCATCTAAAGTATCCTGTGGAAAAAAAGATGTAGATCTAAATATATTGATGTGAGAAGATGCCCTGAATATATTTATATATTTTTGAGCTTAGAAAGGTGATAGAACAGAATGTATAGAATTTCCTGCTCATGTATAAAAAAGCACACGCACACACACAAATGTCATGGTGAGTCTGTCTGCAATATTTCATAAAATATTGACCGATTTTCTCAAGGTGTTAGGATTTCAGGTAACCTACACTTTTATAGATGGCATGAATTTTTGTGAACAGATAGCTTTTCTATGAATAAGGTGGGTTTGTTATATTATAGATGTATCTATTTCATGTTATAAAAAAGAAGATAAGGCATCTTGTAAACTAGAAACTGGCAAGGTATGTCCAGAGGGCCAAACCATAAAGTTTTATTGGAACACAACCACACCCATTCATTTATTGATTGTGTTTGGCTGATTTTGCTGAATAGTGTGACAGAGAACTTATGGCCCACACAACCTAAAATATTTACTTGCCTCTTGAAAGAAAGTGTGTGGGAACATCTTGTAGAGACAATTAGAGTAGAAAACTTTTTCAGGATGGCAAATCACAGCCTATATTTTACTAATTCTTTTTATTTCAATGTATTTTTTATTCAATGTATTTGAATTTTCTTTTAAAAAATGTGGTCTGTATATTTCAAATTACCTCCTAATCTGAATATTGTTTATAGTAACATATTCAATTGACAATACCAGTGTGTGGGTAGTCGATGAGGAAACTGTTTTGGGTCAAGCAGACTCTATCTTGTCTCTAAGCTGCCATGCTGAAACTTCTAGGAGATAATTAAACAGCCCAATTCAGGCATTCAGTGACTATGAAAAGACAAGAAATCATCTGCTAATCAGTACAACAGACCCTCATTGTGCAAATTTCTGCCTGAAGATGTTTGTCCACCAATCAGAGACAGACAAATGGACTTAAAACCACTCCCAAAAGTTTCACCAAAAATGACCTAACCTCAAACCATTTCTCTGCCCAATCTTTGAAAACCCCCCTTGGCTTTGACCCGTGGTACACACCTTGGCACTGTCCCTTGGTCATGTACCCAGAGCATGAGTCCTATTCTTGAACAAACACCTTTTGATGACCTCATAGTTTATTTCCCAGTCCACATTAATGTCTATATATTCTCCTTCCTTCTCCCTCTCCTTCTCACACGTTCCCCCTGTTCCTTCTCTTTTACTCTGCCCAACTCTGCTACTTGTCCACTTCCTTCTCCTGCTTCCAATAAGAGGTCACGATCATGTTCTCCATTTTGCCACCAGAGGCTATTCCATTAAGAGCGGGCTAGTGAGGAACTGATGTTCCCTTCTCCTTCTGTCCTGAGTCTCTGAAGACAGACTGACTGAGGACATCTTGGACAAAAATAGATTATCTTGCAGGAGGAGGGGTTTGGTCTCAAAGAATCTACTAAGATCTGAAGGGGAAAAAAAGCTAGGAAAATTATGGAGGAAAGAGGGTATTGTAATGGGCTCCTGAGGAAAGGCGGAGGATTGGATGGGCAAATCCCCTCTCTACTCATCCCCACAACATTCTTCTCCAGTGTTCTTTAAGGCTTTCTTCCTCTCACATTCCATCTGACCTCCATGTTCAGAGGGAAGGCTTGAGATTTTTCTTTTTCACCTGATCATCCATACTCTCAGTTACAGAATGCCAAGAGCAAGAGTAACTAATGCCAATCCAAGCAATGTCAGGCCCTTGCACATTTCCAGAACTCAGGCATAAAAGCTAGATGTTGCCTTTGATGTGGAAGATACTTTGATGCTAAATAATCGAATAACTCAACAGAACATTCTCTTTGTCAACCACTCACTCCAGACCTTTCCTGAAGAAAAATATAAGACACTTGTGGTGTCAGAAAGGGAAGCAGCCTGGTAGATGATGATTAGATTAGATTATTGGTCCATCTATAGCCTATGCTGCTGAGTAGACAGACACAGTCAAATATGTGGACATGTGAATTAAATTGTGATGGGAATGGAAAGTATTTTCTCTGGCACTCTGATAATAGACCTGTTAATTTTATTTAGCTCTATATTCTGGTGAGAATGGAAAATACTAAGCCTGCAACCTCTGTGGTTTCAATTTATACAGCATGGTTCTCAAAATATCTGAAATGGTTTTTTCAGAATGTGTGGGAATCTCAGGAAATGTGAGTAAAATGCTATTTTTTTAGTATTCTTCTATTACTCTAGAAATACTGAGATAATTGAGGAATACCTAATATAATGCCATTCCTCTATTATCTCAGTGTTTTTAAAAATAGAAATATGTATTATTTTGTCCTGAGGCTACCCTGAGATTTTACATATCACATTAAAATTTTGAATGTAATAAAGGTATATTAGTTCAAAGAATGTTCTAACCCCCATCCTCCACTGCCAACACTCTGTCTTTCCCATTTCCTGGGTTACAAAATGGTTGAACATCTTTTCTGGTATTAGTCATGTATGACCCTAGTGCCACCTTAGGTATGGATCTGCTTCCAGAAGTCTCTGAAGGATTGTGCTGGATATTTTTGCATTCCTATAAATAGCCTTGTAGCTTTATCTAGAATATACTTTAGTTACTTAGAAACAGATTTATCCTTTAGGTCTTGCATTTAAGATTTAATCAGATGGATTGGAGCAGTTATTATGCAAGGGCTAATTTGTCCCCTGTTGAACCTGTATGCTTACTTCAGTGCTCCATCATCTGAGGTTTTCCATCTGACTGGTGGGAAAAGCCACCATTTTTGGTCCTGTGTGAGCATCAGGAACTGTGACCTCTAATGGTTACAGGTGGTTCTGGCCCTGGCCTCGGGTGGTTGCTTCACCTGCACAAGTTCATCATGGTCCTTCATAGTCATGCACCATCATACACAAGGGGTCTTTGTGCTAGTCTCTCAGTTCTTTTTCTGCCCAGGTCTTTTCTGTCTGCCTCTCTGTCCTGTGAATCCCACTTGCCTTGATCTCCCTGAACTCTCATCCTCATTCCCTTAACTTGATTTGCCCACCAGGCTTGTCCTGAACTCTTTCTCTTTGTCCTATGACCTGGAAATACCCTCAAGGCAGAAAACCTTAGGATTCCCTTTAATTGTTTTCAGCCTCTCAGGGATCCTTTCCTCACCTGAGGCACCATGTTTGGCAAATTGTTTCCTATATTCTGTTTTTCAGTTGTTTTATGTAGGAGGATAAAATCAGCTACTTTACTGCATTCTGACTGTAAGCAGCAGCCTCCCCGTCACTTTAAACCATCACTGTTCTTCTTTTTTATGTACTTGTGTCTGATATTTTGCACATTTATTTTTATTGTCTATCTCCTTTTTCAAGCTGTAAACTCCACGAAAGTCTGTTTGGTCTACTATTGCATCTCTAGCTCCCATGACATTGACTGACCCATAGCCGTGCTTATTAAATATTGAATGAAAACTAGCCCAGGGTTGCATCATAGGAGGTTTTGAATGCTGAGTAAGGAAACTGAACAAGTTTTTCTGTGAGCTGAGGCTCCTATTCTGAGATTTGAAGGACACAGTTCAAATTCTATTCATTTGCCGAGTGAGGACTTTGAAGGGGGTGTAATGCTAGCTATTTCACTCAAACTACTCTGGAAATTTGCCAAAACTCTTGGTAGATTAGGTCACATTTCTGGAATCTCCTTGGAATTCAGGAACCTGGAAGAAACAATGACTCTGCCTTTGACCCTGCCTCTTAATCTGATTGGCTGTAAGCACTTTGCAAATATTAATTATGTCTCACAATGAAGTCGCCACTGTGACCTCTTTTCTTAAGCTGGCAGCACTGGGACCAGTGTTAAGCAGCCCTGTCCCATAATAGCATGCTTACTCCTCCTTCTTAAAAGAGAAAAGTTAGGGTTCTATCTTTACCAACATCCTTAAATAAGTACTTGGTGCCCTAATGATGAACTTGACAATTGAGTAATTTTCTTAAAAATCTCTCTTAGTAGGGCCTCCCTGGTGGCGAAAGGGGTTGAAACGCAGCCTATGGGGCTGTCCGCAGTCACTGCAGCACGGGTTCGATCCCCGGCCAGGGAGCTACCCACATGGCATAGCAGACCTCTCCTGTCCCACCCGCTGCTCCCCTCAGCAGTGTATTTCAGTCAGTCTGACTGTTCTGTTGCCCACTCTGTCTCTGATGAATCCTCTAACCCTCCACACCTCTGGCCTGTACCCTAGTTCTTGAATGCATAAATAATAATAAATCTAAAAAAAAATCTCTCTTGATAATTGCAAAAGCCTCTGCACTGGTATTTTTAGCTCTTGTCTTCTAGACAGTCCACTGGGGGCAGGTTATAAATATTAGGAGTGCTAGCTACATTTATTTTGTGTCCTTTCTTTTGTAAGTACAGTAGTTCAGGTACATAATATATTAATAAAAACACCACATTGGGGCTGCATGCTTATTTCTTTACAGATGAAGTGTACAATAAAAATAAGAGATCACTAATCTGGTCTATCTCCCCATTCTTCTTCAGTGAAGCCAGATTACTGTTCCTGGAAGGTTCCTCTCCCTATGCCCATTCCTCTCCATGATAAAAACACAAAACCCCAATCCTTCTAAGTCTTCATTATAAGAAAACAACATTTACCACTAGATGAAGTTGAAAAGAAGGATGTTTTTCTATGCAGACTCAGCATTCAGTCCACAACTCTTAACACTCCCCCACATTTGTATAACACATTATAATTTTACAGTGCATGAAGCTTTGTCTATAGGTCTGGTTTCAAAAAAATGTGGGTCTGCTCTCAGCCAAGATCTGTATATGTTTAGTTCTACTCTACCAAACCTGTTAGTTCTACTTAAAGACTAAATTGTTGATCCCAAACAGTAAGTATAAGACATGAGTATTTCCCCAGACTCTATCAGTACAGGCTAACAGACTGAATTACTGGAGAGACACAGAAATATGGAAATTTAAATGTGCCAAGTTCACCTTACGAGTAGTTGACAGAAATAGCAATTGAGTGAAAAATGAGCTGCAACACACCTTGTATGTGTTTGTGTGTGCAGGGGGAGGGGTGCAGATGGGGTGGAGGTGGTGTCAGAGCCCCAAGGCCATAGATAGAAGAATGAAGATGCCTTCCTGGAATAGGAATCTCTGGCCCTGGGCTCCCCACCTGACACCAAGTGGATTAGAAATGACCTGCCCAGTTGGGTCATCCCTGAGTTTTTGACATACCAGCAAATAAACAAAGCAAAACAGTTATTTTAAGCTCCTGAGTTTGGGGGCTAGTAGAATTGAGAATTGTAGATATCTTTTATGCATCCAGATCCAACTCTTCTTGAAGCAGAACTACCCCCTGATTGTTCAGTGAATCAATACATTCTTTTTAGTTAGTTATTTTGTGCTAGCACAGCTGGGCTTCTATCATTTCCAACCAAAGAATTGTGAGTTATACTGTTTTAACTCAGGCACAGTTTTTGATCTACCCTCGTTATTAATCTGTGAAGTGCTTTCTGTGGTTTGATTGAATTTTCATTCATACCCTTTTTACTCTATTCCTACCTTCACACCATTCCTATTCATAGATAATCATTCTAATTTTGATGTCTATCTTTTTATGTGCATGTGTAATATATGACTATACAATTATTACATATTGTGTTTTGTGTACATGTATTTTGGTGCTATAATAATGGTATTGCATCCATGTATTTATATATATATATACTCACACACACATATATATGAATACATAAATTTTTCAAATTATATGTTATGATGGTCCATACATTTCTCTAAAAGTGCAGCACCTGTAATAAGTTTCTCTTCTAAGATACACAGTCTAATGATGTCCATTGTTACTGACAGTTGTTTCTGTCTTCTTGGAATCTAAAAAAAAATCTCCTTTATTCTCTGAAAGCCTCTTTTCTCATCCCTGCCCTGTCTTACATACTTTACTTCATAAGTGTTCTGGTTATATATATCCAATATCTTCTCATCTCTTTGAGAGTATTAATTATATATTTTGGGGATTTTTATTTTCTGTTCTTATCGTGGTCTTTATTGTTTCCTTTGAGTTTCTTTTTACTTTTAAAAAGTAATAATTTTAGGTGTCCTTTTTCATGTCACAGATCTTAAATATCTTCTGATCCTTTGGTGATTCTGATAGGAGTGTGTGTGTGTGTGTGTGTGTGTGTGTGTGTGTGTGTGTGTGTATGCGGGTGGCTTACTGAGCTCTGGGAGGAGGTTATATAGTGGAGATTTGGCTCTTTTGTCTGCCTGCAGACCTCCATTGGTTTCTGTAGGTCCCTTCTCTTAGGCTCACCAGAGATATCAGAAAGGGGCCAGCTAGTCTACTTAGAGGTGAGGAAGGGTTTACTTGGCTACGGCCATGTTTTGTTTACTCTCATCTAGATTGTCACTTAATCTTGCTTTTTGAGTACCCCGTACTCATCTGTGGCTTATGTTCCTCATCTCTGATTGCCAGGTCATTTATTCACTGAAGAGCCATTTACCCATTATACCTGAGTACTTTGTGCCAGGCATTTGGGATCCACCAACAACAAAACAGATGAAAATCCCTGCCTGCATGGAGCTTACATTCTAATAGGAATACATTTCAATCTTCTATCAGAGTGAGGGATGGCTGGCTGACCATATTTGTCAGTGGGATTTTGAGAAAGAACAGAGAAAATTCTGTGTTCAGTCAACTATAGTCAACTATGTTTAACCGCGTAGCAGCAACTCTCTATTCCGGGTACACAGCTGCTTGCTTGACAGGTTAACGTGTCCTGGTTGAGATGATGGTGGTGTCAGATTCTGATTTCCTGATAGTCTGTGTGAAGCTGCATTGCCTGAATGTGAACGAGATCACATACAAACCACATTAGCTCGACTTTTTCATACCTCTATTGTCATGACTTATTTTCTTTCTCTTGGTTTGTAGAATACGTATTATTTAACTTTCTCCTCTCTCGTATCATATTTTTCTTTTCTTTTCTCCCTATAGCTGACCTTCATATTTCCCTGCTTTGATATCCATGATGAGAGAGTATGCTGGCCTAAATTCCTCATCATTATATATATGTATATACTGTGATACTATAAGAGAGTTTTTTAAAAAAAGAAAAGTTGGAAGGAATGCTAAGAAGATTAGTCACTAACATTTATTAAGCACTTACTGTGCTCAAGGCACTTTCCTAAGAAATTTCCTAAGAAGATTCCTAAGAAATTTATACACATTATTTTATGAAATCTTTACCAGTACCCTATGAGGTAAGTATTATTATCATCATCATCTCCACTTTATGGGTGAGACATCATCTCCTACCACCTTATTTTATAAATGTGAGATTAAGAGAGATTCAAAACTTTCCTAATGTCTTACACCTAATGAGTGGGGGTTTTAAATATTTATGAAATCAGTCTGATTTATTTCTTATCAAGTTCACACGAATTCCTTGTTGGGAGTTTGTAGTGGGGTTTAGGTGCCACAAATCCCCCTGCTGAAAGAATTAAATATCTAAGGATCAATGACCAGTTAGAAAATAAAGAACCGGGGCCTCCCCTGGTGGCTCAGGAGGTTGAATGCTGGGCTGTGAAGCTGTCCGCAGCCTCTGCAGCGCCAGTTCGATCCAGGCCTGTTGGCGAGGGTACCACATGGTGTGGCAGACCTCTCCTGTTTCGCCTGCTGCTTCCCTCAGCAGTGTATTTCGTCAGTCTGCCTGTTCTGTCCCCCGCTCTGTCTCTGGTGAATCCTCTCATCCTCCTGTGCATCTGGCCTGTACCCTGGTTCTTGTGTAAATAAATAAATAAATCTTTTTTAAAAAAAATAAAGAACCTCATTTGATTGATAGATTGGCAAGGATGGCTTGGTCAGCTGTGCTGGATGGTTGGGTCTGGGAGCTGACATGGGGTTTCCTACTCCCTTGCGTGGAGAAAGGCTGAGTCCAGAGCAGCCTGTGCAGCAGGTTCTAGCTGTGCAGGAGAGAAAGGCTAGCTGCCTCCCCCTCAAACAGTGACCACAACACTGGACAGAACGCACAAGTGTTGGTAGGCTTACTTACAGGAGACAGAAGTGCCCAGGGTATGATTTCCAGAAAGGAACAGGAATGGGAGAGGGACCCATATTGCATGGAAACTTGAGATAAAAGAGGGTGTGTGGGAACAGGCCAATCAGTGGTTCATTAAAAGTGGCCCATTGCGATTTAGGCTCCAGCCCCTCAAATGAAAACCTGGTCCTTCCTTGGGGCCACTGTGAAAGAGACTAGCGAGAGGCTGGAAGTGTGGGTGAGAATGTTCTCTCCTGGAAGTTGGATGGAACTGTTCTACTTTTTGTGGGTTGATGTAGAAACATGGGGAGAATTAAAAATAAGTTTCCTTCTTAATTTTTCTGTTAGTGGAAATTAAAATGCTAATGTTTTAAACATTGCTTTTGGCTTGTAATTTTTCTTTCTTTTCAATCAGTGCTGGTTGCAACTTACTCAGGGGTTTTTTTGATTCACTAATGGTCTAGGACCAACCCGAAAACATTGTTTAGGGGGCTGAGCCACATTTCCACTACATTGCAGGAAAAAAATACTTGTTTGTAAAACACTTCAGTGGTCCCAGTGGCAATATATAAAACAAATATTAGGTAATAGATTGGACAGGACTGGCTGAGACAGACATGCAGTTTGGTACCAATGCAAAGGATAATACAATTAAAAAAGCATTCTCTTTTGATAGAGACATTATTAGCATAAACTAATGTTAAACATCTTCGTGTGCTTTTTTGTCATTTGTTTCAGGTCCAATTGCTATAACAGAATATACTCGACTGGGTGGATGAAATAACAAGCAACCATTTCTCACAGTTCTGGGAGATGGAACTCAAGGTCAGGTGCCAGCATGGTCAGTTTCTTGGTGAGAACCCTCTTCCTGGCTTATAGATGACTGACCAAGTTCTCCATGTATCCCCCCATGGGAGAAAGAAAGGAGTGTATCTAATTCTACTGTATCTCTTCTTATAATAGACACTAATCTCAGTTTGAGGGACCTGCCTGAATGACCCAATTACTTCCTAAAGGGACTATCTCTTAATACCATCACACAGCATTAGGATTCAACATGTAAACTGGGGGTGTGGGGCAGGCAGTTGAGGAAGAAGGAGTTATCAAAAATAACTCAGATAACTCGATTGAACGTAAGCAAACAAGTTATGGGTTAATGGAGGTAGCTTTATCTCTATGGTAAAAACTAGAGGAGGCCTTGATTTGGGTGGAGAGGGGTGGTGGGCAGTGGACAGTGTTCATGTTCCTTTTAGATGAATGTAAATTCTGAAGACTGATGTGTGTCCACAAAAAGAACAGAACTGCAAAGCACACGCAAGGATGCTACAACCAAAGCTAAAAGACTTTAAAAGCAAACAACTCAAGTTTGGAATAGCACGCTCCTTCTTGCTTTGAAGATTTTCATGATTTTTTAAAAAGTGTGGGCAGGTGTCCACCAGATGGCAACATTTCTTTATAAAAGGCCATATTTTAAAAACATACCTTCCCAGCTATATCAAGGTAGATTTATGAGAGGCACATAGAGGCACATGTTGAAAGTGCAGCCCAAGCTGCTGATTTCCGTAATGCAGCCAGGAAGTGGCAGTTTAATGAGCAAGGTCCTTTTGCAGTCTCTTGCAAGGAGACAAAGGGCAGGGGGCGGGGGTGTGTGTGTGTGTGTGTGTGTGTGTGTTGGGTACTTCATATTGTGGAAAGTCCCTTAATGCCAAGTGCTTTTATTGTTAGCACATGAGTAATATTGGAAGCTTTACTTCACCTCTCTGAGCCACTGTATTCACCTGTAGAATGGTGAACATACTAGCAGAAACTTCATGGGGTTAGTGCCAGTATGAAATTAGATAATGCATTCCTCTAAGATGACTAGCTCATTCCTGGTACAAAGTAAGCATTTAATACATGGTGGCTCTTATTATTGTACTGCTCTCCACTCCCCCTTCCTCAAGGCCCTACCTTTTGCCAACCTCAGTTGTAGGCAGTCTTCCAGGCAAGACAAGTAAAGCACATGAGTCACAGCAAGATGACAGACTCCCTTCCAGGTCCTCTTCAGCATTGGCTCATGGCAGGTCCTCCTCCGTGATAATCCTTCCTCCTAACTGTATTTACAGAAAGATGGAGTCCTTCTGCAATGAAACTGTCTGGTTGGATGGGCAACCTATGAAGATGGAGAGGAAGGAAACATTTGAATGGAACACAGATCATCCCCTTCCTAACACACTGCATGGAATTCAATTACTCTCTGTGTAGTTGAATTTCTTTTTTTTTTAAAGATTTATTTTTATTTATGCATACAGGAACTGGGGTGCAGGCCAGAGGTTCAGGAGGGTGAGAGGATTTGCCAGAGACAGAGAGGAGAACAGAACAGGCAGACTGACTGAAATACACTGCTGAGGAGAGCAGCGGGTGAGACAGGAAAGGTCTGCCACACCATGTGGGTATCTCACCAGCTGGCAGGAATCAAATCCACGCTGCAGAGGCTGTGGACAGCTTCACAGCTTCACAGCTCTGTGCTCAACCATCTGTACCACCAGGGAGGCCCTAGTTGCATTTCTTAATCTACTGAAACTTGAACAATTACTATCTGCAGACTTGAAATTAGATATTCCCAGTCTGTCAGGTGGGATAGGTCCAAGAGGTTATTTTGTGGAGGTTGACCCAATATGAATGCAGCTCAGATTTGTCTACTTGATGCTAGTGGTTCTGCCACAGGCAGTATTTGTATAGCAGAGCTCAGCCAGCTCTCCCCAAAGAATTTATCTTCTTTCTTTCCTACTAACTCAGCCTACCAGATGCTCCAGTTTCCTTTATAATAGCCTTAACTAGTGGGGTATGTTAAAAACATGTTTTCAGAAGTGGGTTTATGGAGGGGGGAGAGGTTTCTGTAGGTCTGGTGAGGATAGGAAATGTCATCTTTGTCTTGAAAGAAAGGACAAGTTTTTTTTTTTTTTTTTTGGTCTTTAACTATACTGTAGGTACCAAAACAAAATTTCAGGTTTTCAATACATGTAAAAGATTGCTAAATGGGCAGGGTATCAAAATGTGACCACATGGAATACTGGCCCATACCCCTGCAGCAGGGGGCAGGCTCCATCCATGAGAGGTTCTAAGTTTACCCAAGGACAAGAGGAAGCATTGGGTAGCAGTATCTCTGTCCTGACTGGACCCCTCTTGGTGGGAGACTGTTGCCATGGTTCCTGTTTCCAGACCCCAGTGCTCCTCTGCTTCTTACCTGCTTCTCCAGCCTCTCCTCAGTCCTCTGAGTGCCCCACATCCTTTCAGTAATCTTTTTGCTTAAGTTAAACAAAGCCAGTTCTTGTTCCTTTCAGCTAAAAAAAAAAAAAAATCCCAACACTTAAACACTCAATAAATATTTATTTGTTGAATGAATGAAAAAGTGTGGTTCTCATTTCACAAATTGAAGGACTGAAGTTCAAAGAGGTTTAGCCACTTATCTAAGGCCCCATATTATCCATATTTCACAAATTTTTGGTACATTCTTTATACATCCTTAGGGTTCTGACATCGGAATGCATTTTTACAAATGAGGGTGTCTCACAGTTATCTAGCAATATTTTTCTGTTTTTAGTGGTATATAAAATAAAGATGTATCTCACACTGGCTTCAACTCAATGAAATACCATGCTAAGTACTGGAGTCAGGATTCAAACATATTTCAAAGCCTGTATATCTTTGCTTTCAGAGGAGTTGACTATCTAATTGGAGAAAGAAAATTATGTGGAGGTGGGGGGGAAGCCTTCACTTGTTCTGTTGGACAGAGGACCTAGTCAAGTGAACTCTGAGGGGTGGAGGGTGGAGTTGCTGGGTGGGCATCTAAATTGATCTAGAAGAAATAAGAAAGATTTTGATCAATGGAAAGGTGGGGAGACAGGGGTAGAGAGGACTACATTCTAGACTCTGACAACTAAGCAGATTTGAGGCACGAGACTGGGGTTGGTGAGGATGGTTGTCCATTTTCCCCCTCAGTGCTTGCCATTCTTCTCTATAGTAAATTATTCCTCCAACTTTCCTTGTGTTTCCTCTCACAACTCTTATTTGCTGCAACCTTCTCTCTGGCAAAACCTTCTGTCCTTTCTTCCCTGTCAGCTCAACTCTTATATATAGTAGACAGATCCTCTGACAATCACAAACAAGGGACAAGGTGTCCTAAGTGCAGCAATGGGGAGGATGTGGAGATGTCACCATAATGTGAGTGAGGAAGGCAGCATGGGTGAGCCTGGTGAGAAAGTAAGCGGGTACAGGGGTTTATCCATTCACCCATTCATTTTTCTTGGGTGCATGCCCTCAAGGGCTTACCTTTCAGTCAGGGGACATAAACCAAAAGCAAATAAACAATGGGTTAGAGAGCCAGGAATGATGGTGTAGGAGTTGCTAATTCAAATAGAGTGGCTAAGGAAGTCCTCTTTCACAAGATAAATGTCAACAGAGATCGGAGGAAGAGAGGGAGCAATCCTTGTGGTCTCTAGGTGGAAAGGGTTCCAAGCTGAGGACCCAGCAGATGCAAAGGTCTGGAGGGAGGGTGGCTGTTGAAGGAATAGCATGCCCAGGGCAGGGTGAGAGAGGGGCCATGTAGTTACACATAGGCGTGGGGAGGAATACTGGGCCAGACCATGTAGGCCTGGTCTGTGTTAAAGGGATTTGGACTTTTAGTCCAAGTGGATGGAAAGCCTTTGCGAAAGCTGAGTGGGGGAGAGAGGAGAGAGAACCAGGGCCTGCTCATTGACAAGCTGGAATGCTGCCCTAAAATGTCTGCGTGTGATTCTCCAGTGTGCCTGGGAGTTTCATTTTTGAATCATGTAAACGGAGTAGGAAATCAGCTCTAATGAATAAACATGATTTTTTTTTTGGGGGGTGGAACCTAGAGAACACCCCCCGCCCCCAAACACATGTAATGAAGTGATAGTTTGTTTTGACAGCAACAGGCTACAGAAGGTTATGCTCCCGGAACTCTGCCTTTGGTTGTCAAGGAGATACTGCTGGAAACCTCTTCTCTTGTCTCTAAATGTCACTGAGTAGCACTTAGATTTTTCATGTTCTCCTTTTATTATGTTATTATAAAGTTCACCTGAAATTTAGTTCAGGAGTCACCAATGAATCTATTCACTGCAGACTCTCCCCCGCCCCTTTTTTATATTCTGCTTGTTCATCTTTCTCCATCTTTCTGAGCCTGGTTTCCAGGAAAGGGTTGCGCCTGACAAATGCTCTGTATATTTCTTAGAGGTCCCAAGGGCCAAACTGGCTGCTGGGCAGGTTCATTCTTAAAAACTAATGAGAACGGGCCTCCCTGGTGGTGCAAGGGGTTAAGACGCAACCTATGAAGCTATCCACAGCCAGTGCAGCATGAGTTTGATCCCCGGGCAGGGAGCTACCCACATGGTGCAGCAGACCTCTCCTTTCTCGCCTCCTGCTCCCCTCAGCAGTGTATTTCGGTCAATCTGCCTGTTTTGTTCCCCACTCTGTCTCTGGTGAATCCTCTCACCCCCCACACCTCTGGCCTGTGCCCCAGCTCTTGTATGCATAAATAAATCTTTTTTAAAAATGAATAAGAACATCCCAAATTGACAGATGTAACTACAGAAAAATGTTTGGTTTTCAGCAAAGCATATTATCTCAAATGCTGGTCAAGCAGCATGGAGATTGCTGTATTTGTTTTGCAGAGAGGGAGGTTTAGACTCAGTGATAGAGGGACTTGACCAGGTAGTTGGCAATATGGGAATTAACATGGTCCAATTTAGTGTGCTGTCTATAACTCTGCACTTTTTAAAAGATATAATAAGCAAGAGGTGATAGATCAGTTCATTCATTCACTCATTCACTCAACACACTTTGATCAAGGGCCGTCTGAGAACGGGGTGCTCTTTGGAGGCCTGGGCATAGGTAGGTGGTGATATCTCATCCTGTGCATATCTTCTGGCTGTCGCTGGATGTAGAATCTTCACTGCTCAGAATTGGCCCTTTAGAGGAAAATCTGTTTGTTCTTCCTGACATAGGTGTATGCAATTCAGAGTCAGAGACTGCTGATTCTCCTTGTAAGAGGAAATTGGATTTTTCCAATAAGCTTTAGACTAAAAGACTAGTGGAGGCAGATCTGGCGATTGGACAGCCACAGATATACTGCCAGGGTCCTGCCTCTCCCAAATGCTATTTCATAAACTGTTGACCTCTGCTGAGCAGATTGTGTCTCTCCTGGCTTATTCAAATCTGTCTTCAAGCATTAAGTCTCTATCCTCTAATGTACAATTAAGAATAAAGGGTGTAGGTCTCCCCGATGGCGCAGCAGTTGAACGCTGGGGTGTGAAGCTGCCCACAGCCTCTGCAGCCCCGGTTCAATCCCCGGCCGCCGGGCGAGGGTCCCACATGGCGCGCAGACCTCTCCTGCCACGCCTGCTGCTCCCCTCAGCAGTGTACTTCATCAGTCTGCCTGTTCTGCTCTCCGCTCCGGCTCTGGTAGGTTCTCTCACCCTCCCGAGCTTCTGACTGTGCCCAGTGCTCGTATAAATAAATAAATAAATTTTTTTAAAAAAAAAAGAAGAAAGGGTGTACCTCCTGAATGGCCAGCTTATGTGGTAGAGAGCAGGAGTAAAGGACGTACCCGCTATCACTTCCTTTCAGCAAATGGGAGGAAAGAAGTTGATTTCTTTGCAATTTGTGCAGCACTTATACACATCAGCAACACTACTCTTGTTGTAGGAGGTCTCAAGGTGTCCATTTGTTAGCAATTTCTTTTTTTCTAAAAGATCCTGTTTTTTCTCTTTGTGAATTGAAGTGACATTGCCTTAGAACCTTATTTAAACTTCAGGTGTGCATCATTATTAATAAACAAATGTAAATGCTATATTAAGTTCACTGTTAAAAATCCAAACCTATCCTTCATCAAACCATTGTCTCCTTTTCCCCCATCCACCCACCCCTGTCTCGTAACCACCAGTTGATCTTATATTCCAAAAATTTATTTTTATTTTCTTTAACTCATCTGTTTGTTTTCTCTATCCTCTACCTGTGAGTGAAATCATATACTGTTTGTTCTTTACTGTCTGCCTAATTTCAGTAAGTGTAATTTCTTCTCGGTCCACCTATGTTGTTGCAAATGACGAGATTTCATCTTTTTTTGATAGCTGAGTGTTAATTTGCTTTACACAAACATATTTAATCCAGAAGAGAATGGAATATCTATATCAAAATGTCTTTCTGGAAACTGTCAGTCACCAACACTATCTCTACTACTAAGATGTTAGCACATCTTAATTATTTAAGCCTTGCAAGGCTCACCCAACTCAGACAAAAGAGGACATTAATGAAATATTTAGACAGATCAAATAAAAATGTGTCAAGCACATATTGTTCACAAAGGATTATCTGATTTTCTTTCAGCCTTTGCTTTTTCATTTGCAATTTCTGTTCACAGATATTGTGAAGAGAGGCTCCTTGCTCTGCTCTGACATTTCTTGAGTAGGCCCTTTAGTAACTTCATGCAGGGCTAGTAGGCATCCATTGTTCCAGGTTTCAGGCACATCTGAATTATGTAAATCCAGCAAGGCTGCTACTTGGGGAAGCTGATTTTGGGGGAAGATGACAATTGATCTGCATAAAAGCCCAAGGCATTTTGGAAGACAGTGGGCCAAGGTTCCAAATTCTGCTCCCTGCAGTTTGGTTAGAGCTACTGATGAAGAGTGGAAAATTCTTAGTGGACCCAGGTCAGGGAGGGACTCTGAGGTTCTTAAAATGAAATCAACCATAATGATAGGGGATGTCTTGGCTGGCAACTTGGATCAAAACCTTAAAGTCTGTGACATAGTGTTGATTCCTACATGTTGCATCATTTATACTAGTAATTCTAGAATGAATGGATGAATTCCTGGGTATGAGGGTGTTATCTGAAACACCTATAACCTTACAGTTCAAGTGAGGAGAATCCAGCTACAAAACATGGGATAGACAACATTAACAAATATATATTCTAATAGATGAAAGCAACAGGATTTCACATGTGGTCAGAAAAACAATAAAACTCCAAATATGTCCACACCCCCCAAGTACCAGAAACTGTGACTATGTTTACGCAAAAAGAACTTTGTAGACATGATTGAATTAAGGCTCTTGAGATGGGAGATTATCCTGGATGCTCCTGGTGGGCCCAATTGTAGTCAGAGAAAGAAATTTATTTTTTTTAAATAATAAATTTTATTTTTATATTCCCCATACATTTGCAACCCCCCCATTCTGACCCCAATCCCTCCCCTCCCTCCCCCCACTCCCCAAAAACTGTCTCTGATTCATAGTTTTTTGTTGATTTTGATTTTCACTTTCTTATAGTTATTCATTTTCCTGGTCCCT